AGTCTGTTCATGTCAAGTCAAGTCTCGGATTATTGTTTGGATGTTTGGATCACACTGTAAATAAACTGCACTTGGGTTCTTCACTACGCTAGCCTTCAGTGGACTGATTCGTTACAGTTTCCAAATTGTTGTACTGTATAAGTAAAAATATACAAAATTTAAAATTAAATGTTGTATAAATAAAAAAGGTTAGGAATCATATTTGTTTCAAGTGCTTTTTATTGGTGGTGGGGGGCCTCCAACATGAATTTTGTCTAGGGCCTCCTAATGTCTAGAACCGGCCCTGCATTTACTTATACTTTTACTTTCAATACTTAAGTAGGTGTCAGACTGTTGTACCTGTTTTTCCCCCGTAGTCTTTCCTGTGTTTCTTTATTTGGTAATTTTCCTGTCCTCGTTTAGTCTGATTGTCTTATGTGATCCACCTGTGTGACTCCAATTATCCCTAGCATTTAAGCTCCTGTCTTTGCGTCCATAAATTCCTCATAAGTAAAAAGGCCATCTGAGTTAAATAATTGGTCCACCAAAACATTATTTCAAAACCATTTTTCAAAGAAAATAGTCTTTTGTTTAAATAGAATGTCCTTATTATTCCAGATAAAGTATAATAGAGACTGGATACTAATCATTTAATTATTATTATTATTATATATTATTATTAATAATTTGTCTAATCCAGTTGATTTTAAATGTATTATTTAATGTAGTGAAGTTTAGAAATTTGAGACCACCATTTTCAAATGAGTTCATTAAGATTTTCTTATATAATGTATCCTATTTTTCCAAACAAAATTAAGGAGCGTTTTATAAATCTCCCTTTATTTTATCATCAACCTGAAGAGCCATAGCTGTGTAAATTAACCGGGATATACCTTCTGCTTTGGAAATCAGGGCCCGTATTCACAAAACATTTGATCTTAACTAAGAGTTCTCCTAAATAGCAGTAAAAGTTTTTAGCTACGAGTTTTCTCTTAAAACCTATTTTAACCTATTTTAAAACCAGATTGCCAGCAACAGCCATTTTAGGATAGTTTGTGGTTTGATCTTAGGTGACTTAGGAGTCCTCTTCACTACTCCTATTGTTTCACAGATTTAGGTAATTGCTAATTGTGTTATAATTAGTTATCTATCAATAATAGTCATATCTTTAATCGTACTGGCTTTAATATGATTAGCGAGGAGTTGACTTATCAAAAATAAATATGGAGAGACAGGGCAACCCTGCCTAATCCCTCTAGACAAATTAAATCTACTAGAAGTGCCACCCAGCAAATTAATTGAACTGTTGCTGTTCTGGAATGTTACAATAAGATGCCACTGAGCATTCTTTAACTGCTATAAGTTCACACTTCTTTAGATCCAGATAGACACCAGATGCTTTAGAAAACTCTTCTAATATTTTAATTGCAATGGGCATTTGGTTATCATTTTGGAGAAAGAGGGTGGTATCATCTGCTAATTGTGTTATAATTAGTTCTCTATCAATAATAGTCATATCTTTAATCGTACTGGCTTTAATATGATTAGCGAGGAGTTGACTTATTATCAAAAATAAATATGGAGAGACAGGGCAACCCTGATCCCTCTAGACAAATTAAATCTAATTTAATTTGCCATTTAATTGAACTGTTGCTGTTCTTAGGGTTTTAATTGCAGTAGTGAAAAAATGTCCAAACCCAAATTTTATAAGTGAATCAAAAATAAACTGATGCTCTACGGAGTCAAAGGCCTTACAGAAATCAAGAAAAATAATAAACCCATTATCTTCATTAAATTCAGGATAATCCAAAATATCTAAAACTAATCTTATATTGTTTGTGATATGCCTATTCCTCATGAAGCCAGATTGTGTTTCTTCGATACTTGATTCTAATACAGCTTTGAGTCTTTTAGCGAATACCATGGCAAATAATTTATATCATTAAGTAAACTAAGTGGACGCCAATTATCCAGAGTAAATCCTTTTTTGATTTGGGTATTAATGTGATTAACCCTTGAGTCAAGGTGGGTGGAAGGGTTTGATTACTGATACTTTCATTAAACCTCTTGAGCAGAAAAGGGACCAAATCTTTAGTAAATTCTCTATAAAATTCTGTGGTCAAACCGTCTGTACCTGGCAATATACTATTAATCAAATTATTAATTGCCTTTATCACCTCCTCAACAGAAATATCACAAAGTTAATTTTCATTTTTGTCAATAGTTTTCACCTCTATAGAACTCAGAAAAGCATCAGATACTGCTTGAGAATAATTGGATTTATATATTTTCTTAAAAAATTCACAGCAGTTATTGGAAATTAAAATTAGTTTATGGTCCTTTGTTACAACCCCATTCACATTTAATTTACTAATGTTGTTATTAAGATGGTGTCTCTCTAAATTAAAAAAGTACTGTGAATTTTGTTCGCCGCCTTCGAGCCATCGTCTCCTTGATTGAACAAACGCACCTTCAGCTTTCTTTCTATATGTGACCCTGGACCACAAAACCAGTCATAAGAGTAAATTTTTTAAAATTTTGATTTATACATCTGAAATCTGAATACTTAATTTTTTTAAATATATTAACAGTTGGAAATTTACAAAATATCTTCATGGAACATGATCTTTACTTAATATCCTAATGATTTTTGGCATAAAAGAAAAATCAATAATTTTGACCCATACAATGTATTTTTGGCTATTCCTACAAATATACCCCAGCAACGTAAGACTGGTTTTGTGGTCCAGGGTCACATATAGTTCATTTTTTTAAATATATTAACAGTTGGAAATTTACAAAATATCTTCATGGAACATGATCTTTACTTAATATCCTAATGATTTTTGGCATAAAAGAAAAATCAATAATTTTGACCCATACAATGTATTTTTGGCTATTCCTACAAATATACCACAGCAACGTAAGACTGGTTTTGTGGTCCAGGGTCACATATAGTTAATCTAGTTTGATTTGCAGATCTAATAATAGTAATTTTTCTTCATCCAATAAATTGTCTGGGCATTTATTTGTTAATTTTGTTATTTCAACAACAATGTCAGTTTCTTCAGTCTCTTTTGCGTTTGGCCATCCAGCTGCCAAATTTTCTTAAATATTTAGTGATCTCAAATTTCAGAAGTTCCCAATTTGAACAAAATTGCATTCTCCTTATTGGCTTTATCCCAAAAACTACATATCAATCCAGTGATTACTTTTTTAACTTCATCATACAGTAGTAGTGAATTGTTAAGTTTCCAATACGATCCATTAGTAAAACAATTTGTATTCGAAAATTTTATATTAATACTGATAGCTTTATGATCTGTTAGTGGAGTAGAAATAATGTCAACTTCTACATCATCTTTGTTAAAGCTCAGACAATAACCAGAAGTCAATTCTGGATTGACTAGACCCTGTTTTATTACTCCAGGTAAAATATTTATTATGTGGAAATTTGGCTTTCCAAATATCTGTGAGATTTAATTTATCCATGAAGTTTTTAAGATTGTTGTTATTTACGTTAGGTCGACCTGGGGCCCATTCTTCATACGTCGCTAACTCAGTACATAGCCACAGGTCCGTAAGCTTAAACTGCTTGGGAGCAGGCTTATTTCATGTAAACAGGATTAGATTGCATTTTTTAAGTGGAACTGATATTTAAAATCTGTCCCAGCCACTGCTACTCTATTACAAGAGTACCCTACTAACCTGGGGACAATCATTTAAAATAATATTTAAAACATTTATTTGAAAATAATATTATAATGTTGTGTAATCTATAATACTATAGACACAGCCAGTTTTACTCATTGAAAGATTTATTTGTGATAAAATAATAACTTTATATTTGTATTAGAGTCTTACATGCTGTACAGTTAATATGAGTCGTGCATTAATTAGAGTGCTGACAGATATTATAGGAGTGGCTTGATGGAGCACAGGAGATGCAGATAACTTGATCTTGACCCTTAAGAAACTTTAATTAATGCTGTCACATAACAAATCTGCTTCAAAGATAAAATTACAGGAATTGCTAATTACAGCATTGAACTAACAATGTAAAGCCTGTACAAATACTAATAATCATGAATATAAATAATTGGGAATCATGTAAAAAATATAAAATAAAAACAGTGCACATTTCATTTATCTATTATAACATTTATGTAGTTTTGTTCACTTGGCTGTTTCCTTATAAAGGTCCAGAAATTTGTCAAGTTTTTCGTCAGGTGTCTTTTTTAATTATATGAGGTCATTACGTTGATGTCTTGCCGCCAGCCATTCGCTGCATTGCTGATCGTGGTTTCGAGTATCGATACATCTGCCCTTTACGGGGAACACGAGAACGCACAGTAATCTTAGACAACTTAATCCAGATATTTTCATCAAATCCGCAAATTCGTTTGAAGAACCAAATTAGTCAGAGATCAGTTATCATCAGGATTAGAAGATCTGGCATCTTTCAAATCATCTCAGATGTATTAAGCGAGGTACGAAGAACGGGCCCCTGGTGGCCATTTATCCATTGTTCCATTTAGTATAATATTAAAATCCCCTCCAACTAATAAAATGGCATTTGGATATTTATTTAACCATTCAATAAATATACTTTCTATGGATACAAAAAAAATATTTTCCAAGCTGTTGTTATACCCTTTCCCAAGATTAATATATTATCAACATATTTAATTACCTGGCAAATTAAATGTCCTGCAGGATCACATTCTGTATGTAGAACATCTCCATTAAATCTATTCTTTAAAGTAATTTCTCCAGCTGAGTGTAAGCAAACCATACTGAATTACCCCATTGTGAAGTCCAAAATTTAGCATCTTCTTTAGCAGGGACGTGCAGAGAGTTCCTCAGGGGCAGGGGCTCAAATAATTTGGATACAATACTATTTTATATTTTTGCAAGTCACTTATGGTCATCAAGCCTGCATTTATTTGATCAATTTTAATATACTTTAAAATACATTTTATGCAATGTTGATTTATTATCAATGTTGGAAACGTGATACTTTTTTTCAGGATTCTTTGATGAATAAAAAGTTAAAAAAGAACAGCATTTATTTAAAATATAACTTTTGTAACAATATACACTACCGTTCAAAAGCTTAAGGTCAGTATTTTTTTTTTTTGAAAGAAATTAGTTTTTATTCAGCAAGGATTTGTTAAATTAATAGAAACAGTGATAGTAAAGATTTATATTGTTAGAAAAAATCTCTATTTTAAACAAATGCTGTTCTTTTTAACTTTTTATTCATCAACGAACCCCAAAAAAGTATTAAAATAAAAATTAAGCAGCACATCTGTTTCAAACATTGATAATAAATCATCATATTAGAATGAGTTCTGAAGGATCATGCACTGAAGACTGGAGTAGGCTAATGATGCTGGAAATTCAGCTTTGCATCAGAAATAAATTAT